AGTGAATTAAATTAAACATGTGCAGATAGGCCAATTAACCTGAAACTAAAACAAGTTACCATTCAACTTTATGTAGCTTAATGTTCAGTATTAATACTAATAAAGTTAGTTACCTCATTGGCTTCCAAAAAAAGGTACAAAACTGCAGAAAATGAACAAGATGATCCATTGAAGATTACCTTGGAAATAACAGAGTATCTATTTAAAGTATTAAGTGTCTGCCCTCAAAAAAATGTGTCTATTACTGCACAGGCACAACATATCCATTAATCCTGTCATCCCTTCATCCATTCACTCAGTTTGTTTATGTGAAATAATCTCACGTTACAACCAAACAAGTGTTTTTGCAGGTGCTGAGTATTAAAATGTGTAAGGAGGGTCGTGCCCTCATCCATCAAAGTGCTGTCACACCATCAGGTTCTGATTTTATTCCATGTCAGAGGTGCTGAAAGTGATTGACAGTGACTGTGTTTACATATAGTGTTTACTATACTTCACCTACACTACATACTGATGAAGATTCCCTGATGGATTTGAAGGATATGATGTCGAATCCACAAAAACCTTTAGTTTCCACATTTAAACTCATGTGGCAGTTTCACTGAACATAACTTGTATGAAGTTGGGAAAGACTCCAACCATGTTGGCTTTTTTATGCATAAATGGTTTGTAGATATGAGCAAGCATTCAGCACAATGACTGTTTGGTAAATCTTCCCATTAGTGGTTTATTTTTAGTCAGCTTTTAAATAAAGGTGCCTGGCTCTAACATACAGTTGATAGTTAGCTGTGTCCTCCTTTCCTTTTATACTGGTTGCCATGTTTGCGGATTGCCCTAACAACCAAAGCCATCTGGAGGTTTTGTTTTGTGCAACTTTCAGACTTTGGCTGCATACTATGTGGTCACACCATCCCCCTTATATAACAGTTGAAGAAAGACAGCTAAAAGGCTGCATAAGGTGGCAAAAATCGGTTGCAGAATTATTGTAATGCTTGAGAAAATGACAGAAATCAGCTTGAACTAAACTTTGATTGGACTAAACCATCTCATGCAAGGTAGGATGTTTATGTTGTATGTTTTCTGTTCATGTATTTTTCTTCTTCTTTTAATTATGTTGTGTAATCAAGTCTTTATACACAGCTTGTGTTATAGTAGTGAGTTATAGTACAGTCAAATTGCTTTACTGCTTTGGCATTTTGGAACAGAATTTATGTCAGGATAATGGTGATGTTAGATCTCAATGTTTTCGTATTATTACATGTATTCTGCTATGCCTTTCTAGTTCTAATACTATCACAAATAAATACTATCACAAATAAATGTTTCCTTCAAACGTTTTTCTAGCTGGTGGCAGCACATTTTTCTTTATTTTTACAACAGAGTTACAACAGAAATTAATTTTGTATTTTTAAACAAGTTCAGATGTTTTTTTTAAATATCATATATGAGTGTCACTATTTGTTAAATGTGTTTGTTTAAAAGTTTGCTTAAAGTAAAACAGAACAATACAAACACATGTTATTGTAAATATTTTTGTTGGTTAATATACATATTTCAGAAGTTTACCATATTATTTTTTTCTTCTTCTTAGCAAAAATATGTTTTATGTATTATGTCAGAATAGACTTTGCACAGTGGATGTTAGTGGGAAAAAACAAAAGTCCTTTATATCAGTAACATCTGAGTTTAATCAAAAGTGCAGCACATCTAACACTGAAAAAAAGCTATGCATCTCTTTTTTTGGTACCTTGAGTCAGCTCAGTGTGGAATAAAAAAACCAAAGCAGAATTTGATTTGAAGTTTCACTTGCCACCAACCACCCAGCAGTCACCACAGAACCACTCATATTCGTCTGCATGTGTGCAATTCTGTAACGAGTGAGCTGGCAATACATTTCTCAACTTTACATTTTAAGAATTGTGTCTCAAGTTTGTCAAAAAAGAGAAATGTGTTAACATAAAATGTGGAACATCTTCAATGTCATACCTTTTTTTTCTCTTTGGGGATTTGTTGGATTCCACAGGCTGTATTCAAACTTAATCTGTCTGAGCCAAATGTCTTTTTTTTTTTTTTTTCTTTCTTAGAATTACCACCGGAAACCTTGACACAGGAGATTCTCTTCTGTCCTCTCTCCTTGTGTTTGTCTGTAAGCTTTCAACTAAATCTCTTTCAGAAAATGGTCTGTCTCTTGTTTTTCCATTTTTTCCACTTTTGCCTGATTTCTGCAGTAATCCTTTTTGTATTGTTTAAATTGGAGAGGAATTATTGCAGAATATCCTTTGAAATGTAAAAACAAGTAAATCATAAAGAGATGCAAGAATTCAGATAAAAAAGGCAGAGATTAAGTTTTTTTTTCTTTATATATATATATAAAGAAAAAAAAACTATAGTTAAAATTAAGTCCTGGATTAAGAAACACATCCTCATCTCCGTTGTCTGTTTCCCATGGAAGAAAGGTGAAAGGGCTGGTTCATGACATTGTTACTCCTGAAATAAAAATGAGATGACAGAGACCACCAACACTGAGAAACGATGAGGTCCGGTATCTCAGAGCATGTCAATCAAGTCTTACCAACATTTCATAAACATTCATACAATAATAGCTAGGATTCTGGTCACATTTATTAGCAATTCTGGTAGTTGTACTAAAAGCTCAAATATGATCATGTTTATGGATGTGAGTTTGTGTGAGACTTCCCTAACAGAAGATCTCTGCTGGAGGGCATGACTGTCTTGGTGTAGACCTGTCTGTAAACACTTGGTCTTCGTCTGATGATCTGTCTTTTGTTGTTGGATCTTATGTTGATTTCCACACCAAGCCCAGATCCTTCAGTTGTTCCTCTCATGATGACTCACCAACTTCATGGTTGTCCATTTTAGTTTGTTTATCTTCAGCGGTTTGCCTGCTCTCCAAATACTGTTTTATTTCATGTCCAGGATCTCAAACCTTTTGCTCTGGTTTTAGTCAAGTTCTCTCTTGACTAAAAATTAAGAACCTAAAGACAGGATCTTAATTTACCCCCTTTTTGCTTGCTTCAACCCTGGAACAAAACTGCCAAACTACTGATGATGGAACAATAATTTTTGTCTTTTTATAAATAAACCTTTTACCATATCCCTTTCCAAGTTTCCGTAGTGTTTCTACGTGGGGGGTCAGGAAATGTATTATGAAGCCCAAAAATACATTTAGGCAAATTCCAGAAGCATAATTTCATGCATGGTATATTAACAAGTGTGAAAATAAAACATTTAGTAATATTTGTTCAGCAAGGCCAAAATAAAAAGACAAAAAAAAAAAAAAAAAAAACTAATTAAACATTAAATGATCTGTACTACAATTATCAGCGTAGGGTCACATTTATTCATCATTTTTAGAGGAATCTTCTTCAGAACGCATCCAGAGTCCTTGGTTCTCTCTTATGCTTCCACCTCTTCACCTCATTCCAAAGATTAATTCTATCACTTCGACCTCTGATAGACATAAAAAAAAGTTTATTTTTTTTAATATATAGCATCCCACATGCATACTCCATGTATTCTCCTTTGCTGTGTTAAGGAAAAGAACGCTCTGCAAACTGGACTCCCTGTCCGCCCCGTTCCCATGAGAATGATGTCTGTTTGGGGCAGAAGCCATCCACTGTGTAACCTCTCTGCTCACTCCCAAGGGACCAATTGACTAACATTAAGTCCAGCAAAAATTAAGATATATGCAGCAGCGGTAACAGTAGACTGAGGTCAGGTCGAGATGAAAATAAAATGGCATTTTGTCAAAATAAATAGGAGGAGAGGATTAGAAAAGCTTTTCATCTTCAACTCCTTTGTGACCAGAAGAGGATGAACCAGTAACAGAATCTCAAAACAGAAACATTCATTTTAGTCCTTTATTCAAAATGTCACTACTGGAACATTTTTGGACTATATCTCCTTGTGAAAATCTACGAGAGTATATTTTCTCTCATGGCTTGCATCAGATATTTTTCTGTATTTGTGTCATTTCTGCAGAACATTTTATCACCATACAAATAAACTCTGTCAACCCGTATTGTCTCTCCACATGTACAGCTTGGGTTTCATAAGGTTGGGACCGAGCCATCTATCTGGAACTAATCTTTGTATGTATTTCCATGCAGAGGGAAGCACAGCGGGATGGACGAGAAGCAGTGAGGAGATGCATCCTGCAACAGAGACTTGGCCAGATTTTATTTTTTTCTTTCACCTGGACTTTGACGACGACATAGTTCGTCATAGCTGCTGATCCCCCGCAATGCCCCAGAGAATAGTTGTGTTGAGGACAAGTGAATGACCATAGAAGGCCTTGGCATTTACTTCAGAAGTGAAAGATCTGACAGGAGAAAGATTACAGCAACTACAGTACCTCTTTTAGATCTCTTTCTCCTGTCATTGACTCTGCCTTTCCTCTGTGTGTCAACAGTTACAGCTCCAGTTCTGGCCAGTCTTTGTAGTATTGGCCTGTCTTTCTCTTTACTTTTCTCTCTGTCCTCTTTCTTAGTCTGTTAATCTTCCTATTTTTCTGGTTCCTTCCCATTCCTTCTCTTCCTTTCCTTTCGGCTTGCAAATACGAGGGCACTCTAATAGACCTCCCTCACGTCCCCCATCGTTTCACTCCTCCCCTCTCTCTCTCTTTCTCTCTCTCACTCTCTGAGACTCTCACTCCTTCCCCCTTTTCTTTTTTCAGCCGTTCCCAGATAAGAAGGGGGGAGAAGTAATTCTCTTCAGTCACTTCTAAAACTGCAGCCACCAGAGAAGAGTGGAAGAAGTAAAATCCAGATATTTACCATTTATCAGGTTTTGATTAGTTTGTGGATATTTGAATACTTAAGAGATTTTTTTTTAAATTTTACATTTTTAAAATGTAATTTCTACTTAGGTTTTCTTAGTTTTCTCATCATCTTCAGCTCCTGTTTTTCTTTTTTTTTTTTTTTTTTTCTTGTTTGGATCTGAACATTCAACTTTTGCTTTCATGAGAGGAGGAGACAAAACCTGAGGAACCTGCCTGGCATCATGCAGATGGATGAATTCATCTGAGAGAAATCTGACCAAAAGAAACCAAACTAATATTCCTGTTGAAAAAGTAATTAGAGGTGAGCATCTGTGCCACCATCCAGTGGAGGAGGAAATTAACAAATTCCTCCAAGATCAACAGGTGTCATTTTCTGCTGCTCTTTTGATTCACAAGAGAAGAGGAATCTTAAAACTGAAGAGACCATTGTGAAGGAAACAGAAAAACTGAGCTCATGGCTTCACTGTTACATTCAGAGGCATATGCAAGCTTCTTCCTAAGGTGAACTGGGGTCAACTTGTAAACAATCTTCCCTTGACCCTGTTAAAGGAACAACATTTAAAATATTGAAAGCATTGTCATGAAAGGCCTGAATCTCAGCCGGTGGTTGCTGGTGCTGCTGCTGCTTTGGACCTGGTCCACAGTCAGTGATGGAGCCGGCGTTGGAGGCACAGAGCGAACGGGAGCTGGAAGAAGCCAGAGAAAAGGAGGAACTGGTGGTGGAGGAGGAGGTGCAGAGAAGAGAAAGAGACTCCATCGCATCCAGCATGGTCAGTGTAGCTACACCTTCGTCCTTCCAGAGGTGGACGGATGTCAGAGCGGAGGGTCCATGTCGCAGGGCGAACATTACGGGGGCTCTCATGGCAGGGCAAGCGTTGTGCAGAGAGACTCACCGCCCGTGGATGGTGAATGGTCGAATCAGAAACTGCAGCACCTGGAAAGCATAATGGAGAACAACACAATGTGGCTGCAAAAGGTAAGGGATGAACAAATTCTTCTTAAATGGATGCTATATAAACTCATTGTTTACAACTGGCTGAACTGTCAGAGAAAAGCATGCATGGTCTCTGGACAGATGTTTGTAACTTTCTAAGGGAGATCAATACTCATCAAAGAGAAAAGGTAAAATTCTGTGCATGAAGCATGTTCCTTTATGTCACAAATTATGCTGATGGTACATCAGTGAATGTATTACTCATTAAAAATGAAAAAGACGTGACTTACAAAATCCAGCTGTCCGGAACCATTTAACACCAAGAAGTGAAACTACAAAAAAAGGCTTTTTTTTTTTTAACTATAACTATTCGCTTCTTCACATGCATCTCTGTTTCTGTGAAAGAGCAAATCTGGACTGAGGCAGTTGTGAATTTCTTGTATGGTAATTTGTGGTTTATGGATCAAAGTTTTAAATTATGGTTCTAGATGACTGGCAGCTGGTTTCAATCAGGAGAAAAGCACTGTGTCCCCCCTGCTGTTGATCCAGCAAACTATTATTCTTCCAAAGGTAACTTGTCTTTTCTTTTCATTGGATTCTTGACTGCACACTGTGCAATAAAAGATGTGCAAAAGATAATTTCCCTCTAAGCCATTACTCAAAAAAGTCTCACACTGTTAAATAATTCAGGTCTGAGTCTCTAACAATCTGACTTCATGGCCGATTTTACAATTTTTTTCCTACAATTTAAAATGCTGAAGTCTTCCAATACTCCACCTATAATGTGCAGCCAATTCTTCTCACCTGCCACCCATGAATTTTATTGACGGAGTTATTTTTTTAGGAGGCCTCACAATCCCCTGCAATAAAGTCCAGACCAGCTATTCTGAAACACATTTGCTTGTTTCTAAGTGCAGAAGTGAATTAATTCATCCTCTTATACATTATCTTTACTGCAGGTGTCTGAAGCAAATAATCACATAGTCCCTGTGTTTTAATCATCAGCTATTTTCCAGTCTCCACATTCACTGGTGCTTTACCTTAATTGCAAACAAAACAAGTCTTTAAACTGGGGAACTACAGGAGCTGTAAATGGTTATAGTGATATAACCATTAAGCTATAAATGGTTATTTCATTTAATAATGGAACACATCTATCCAAACTAGCCTAATCCAAATCCAAATATAATAATATGCTTTGTTGAATTAATTTTGATCAATCACTCTTTTTAGAAAGACGAGTTCCTCAGTACTAGCTAAATGTACAATCAAAATATCACTTACTCACTTAACTGTCATGATGACACCAAAGCACTCGTGAAAATGTTTTTGGGATGACAGTTAAGTTGTCAAACATCCTGTTTGACAATATGCAGTTGACAAAAAGAGCCTAAAAAACATCTTGTCGTGATTGAGGAAATTTAATAGTGTAGGTGAAAACAAGTCAATGACATCTGTCAGTCTGGAAAGGGTTGCAAAGTCATCCCTGAGGTTTGGGACACAGGGGAACAATAAGAGAGAGCCAGAATCCACAAAATGACTACATTTGGAACTCCTTTTTTCTAGGCTAACAACTTCACAGGAGTTGTTAGCCTAGAAAAGTTACTTCAAGAGTGGATTAATTTAAAGAACACAAAACAGATTAGGAAAAAATGGCATTTATGAAAGAATTACAAGATGAACATCAATAAGAACACAAAAGCCAGAGTCACACATGTCAGAAAGATAAACATCTTGGTGAAATTTGGAACCAAAGCTGCCTTATGGGACTTTACCTGTTAGCTTGTTGTTGAGCATGCTCACTGTGAACATACTTCAGTGCTGGACATTTGACTGCCCATTCTTCCAAGGATTACGGTTTGTTACAATTCTGGTCCCAACATGTCTCCCAGGAGAAACACTCATGCATACAGTTTGTCTGATCGGTGGTGAAGCAATTTATTTATTTTTTTTCTTGAGCTGAAGAAGAATGAACAATTAAATTATGGCCTCAAACTGCTGTATTTTCTGTAAAATAGCTGCTGTGTGGAAAGCTATTACTTCAAAGTGTGGAGCAATGTGAAACATCACTTATTTTCTATGGCTGATGGAGGCCACAAGGAATGGTTATATGGTTAAATGCTTCAATGTGGATGGAAGATTTGGACTCTGAAAAAATATGAAAATAATATGTTGTGAAATAAACATGTTATTATGTTACCGCAGATGTTGAATTTATTGTGAGGTGGTAGAACTTTTAAGAAGTCTTGAGTAAATATGTGTCAAAACATTTCCCCTGATGAAGCTGAGCTATTCAAGAGAAGGAGTGGATGCCAGACAAACATTTAATACACTGAAAAGTTTGTAGGGTAGTGATGTAAGTTCAAAAATATCAGCTAAAATAAATGATGACGATCTATATAAGTAATCAGTTTTATCTTTCATTCTTTTCCATATATTTTTGTTATTCCTGCCCTTGAGGACAGTTGGAGGGGATTAAACGGGACAAATAGACAGAAATCAGCACTGTGTGATATGTTTTTGTGTCGCATAATTTCTTGCCACAAATACGCAAGTACATTGTGACAGATCAAATACCTGGACTTCAGCCAACTCCAGAGGAGTAATGGTGTTGACAGGAAAAAAATTAGGAGTTGTCACATGCCATCAATGAGCTTTCAGGAGCTTTCTGACCTTTTTTATTTCCTGTGTAACTCTCGGTGTGCAGAGCTGCACAGCTGGCTTCAGTGTGGCATGTTATAAACTTCATTTGAAAGCTGTGAGCAACCAGACACCTCAGAGAACAACTCGTCTTTATTGACAGCAAAACATATTTTGCAAAAGTTGCTTTTGTCACAGATTAGTTTGATGAGTGAATTGCTGTTTTTAAACCATGCTCAAAAATGTAAAAACAGAGCAATCCTTTTCAGATTAAGTGCCAATGATTAGAATTTGCTTTGGGATGATAGGTAAACTCTGTCCTATCTAAACCTTTGACATCAAGGTTCTGTCTTTATCTTTACTTCAAAAGGATGTGATACCATCTTACAAAGATGTAAAGAGTTCTCTGATGTCTAAAGAAAAAGGCTGTGGATGCCAAAGAGTCATGGAATTGCTTCAAAAGATCCCCTAACTATCCAACTGAAATCATTTTACTTTGAAACTATAGCATATTTGCCATCTTAGTGTTACAGCCAAAGAGTACAACATTTAAAATATACTAGAATTAAAATCTGTCTCGCCTGTGGGGTCAAATTAAACAACATATGACAAATTTTAAGTCTGAGAAAAGAAAACTTTCAACTAGATAATCCTCAAAAGACAAACCCAAAGGTCAAAGTAGCCTGAGATCAGTTTAACCACAAATAAATAAATTGCCTTGTGGAATTTGACTCTGTCCTCTTTTTAAAGTACATTAGATTCACCACAAGAAACAATTCCACAGTTGATGAACTTTTTGCTTTTCAAAATACCCCAAAACTGTTTCCTTCCTCAGATTTCTCAAACGTTTTTTCACCTTTGAGAAAGCGTTTATTAGCCTTTGATTTTTTATTAAAAATATAAATCAAGTAATCACTAGACTTACACAAAGTGGACAGATAAACAAACATCAAGGTCATAGATTTGTATTATCATCACCCCTAAACATTGGCAATACAAACTGCAGTAAGCCTCTCCTGCTGATTTGCAGGTTGAAATGATTTAGTTGCAGCAGGTGTTATTGATCCATTAAATGAGATTAGCAAAAGAAAACATTTTCTAGAAGAATCTACAGGCGGGGAGCCCCCATTCATCATCATTAGAGTCATTTAGGTGTTGCAGATGAGAGCGGCAGCATGAATAATGCTCCTTTTTCAGAATCATAATTCTTCTGAGTTAAAGAGATTTATTCAGCTGCCTGAGCTTTCTGGCTGCACCTGTCATAGCTCATAGAAAGTTTACATCCGCTGTTAATTATGTGATAAAGGGAAACTCTGCAACTGAAGTTATCACAACACACATGAAGTTTAAACAGACTCCAATTACTTTGGAGGGTTTTTAAATTACTTCAACTTGTCATAAACAAGTTGTTTCATCAGGTGCCTTCATAAAATGTTAATGTGTCAAATTTATGCCATAGTTAAGTCAAGTAGTTTAAAGAAACCCTTATTCGGACCCCCAGAACTGTGGATCTTTTAACACTGGAAACATATTACTGTTTTGTAAACTGTGTGAAGGAAAATTTAGATTCTCATTCTGGTTTTGACCCTCAACATTTCTCTCCTTTTTTCAACATGCCTGTACGCTAAACTTTTCTTCTGATATTTTTATTCTATTTTTAAATTTTTCTGTAGGCAGGACATATGTCTACAATATAATGACCATATATTTGGTGAAACTAAATGCACAGTCTCAGAAATCAAAAGTGCACATTTAGAGTTTTAACATTAGCATCTGTAAATTTGTGTTGCACCCTAATTTACAGTGCAAGGACACAACATTATTTACTGATCTCCCTTACCAACCCATAGCTGCTCGTACTGAAATCATTAAAAAATAATAATACAATTCCTACAAGTTGTATATGAACACAGTTCTTTAAACTCAGATGTAGAAGCTTATCTCAATCCCTGGGATTTTCTCAGGAATGTTATCTGGCTCAGTCCTTACATTTCAGTCACCCTCTGACCATACTGTTCTTGTTTGTGGCACCTTAATGGGAAAGGGAGCTACCAAATGCTATCAGAGCAGGAGCATACATCTCTACCTTCAAGACTCCTCTCTTCAAAGGGCACCTTATCTTCTGCTATCTTCCGACATCCCTAATCTGTCTGACTCATAGTTTCTTTACACTTTCTTACATGTCCTACTTGGTATGTAAAGTAAATGGATGTAAAGCATAAAGAGGGTCTTTTTTTGAAGTTGGGTTGTGTGAGGTACATACAGTAGAGGAGCCACAATTATCTCAGTTTAGGACATTTTGACTGACGCACTGAGTTGTGATTGATGTCAAACAACTGTTTTAGAAGTATTTTAAGTGCAAATGTTTAAATCTGCTGAATAAACCATAATAAACATTGTGT